TTTCATCCTGTCCCATCTGATTTCCCTGGGGAGGAGCTGGGGAAACATTAAGTTGAAAAATGAAGGAAAAGACCAAGAAGACTTTCTGTTCTTTCTGCACAAAGGCTAAAGGACAACTAACACAAAAGAATGAACAGCCACTGACCACTGTGGTGGACTCTTTGTTTCTCCTTTTGCCTTTGCCTTCCTTTCCTCCTTCATTTAGACTTTCTAAACTGAGTTTATTTAGCTCTGGAATGATCTTTATTTAGGTCTCAAGAGAGGCTGATCAACAGCCTGTTAAGTTCACCTTGGTCTCCCAAGCCTAGGCCTTTATGGTGGAAAAGAAGGATTCTGGGCAAAATCTGTAGGAGTTACAATTCTACAATTGGTTAAGTGGTTCTTTGATCCAGGGTGCAAGTTAATACCATATGAATAACACTGAGTTATTAAAAGGAATTCAGCAAACTCATAAGACTACTTTTTGTTGGTAAATTTTTTAAAGCTTTTTCATAAAAAATCGAGATGCAACCTACTGCTGTATAATGCACAGCTTAATGCTTTCTATCTATCTACTTATCTATCTCCAGGCATCCAAAAATAAAACAAGAAATAATCAAGATGCAGAACACTTCCAGCAGTGCAGAAGGATTTCTAATGACCTTTCTCAATCAATATTTTCCTGAGGTTTCCACTACTCGGGCTTATGTTCCCACAGATTATTTCACTATTCCTGACCTTTATGTAACTGGCATTGTAAAATATGTACTCTTTGGCTTTTTGGCTTCCTCCACTTATCATTATGTCTGTGAGATGCATCCAGATTTTTCTCTGGGACATTCTCCCCCCACACCAATATTTTATTTAAAATATAGCCATTAATTTATAATAACTTTAAATGGAATATAATCTGTACAAATATCAAATCACTGTGTTATACACCAGAAAGTAATATAATATATTACAATCAACTATTGTTGTTGTTCAGCCACTAAGTCATGTCCATCTTTTTGCAACCCCTTGGACTGTAGCACACCAGGCCTTCCTATTCTTTTTTTTAAAATTTTTATTAGTTGGAGGCTAATTATTTTACGATATTGCAGTGGTTTTTGCCATACATTGACATGAATCAGCCATGGATTTACATGTGTTCCCCGTCCCAATCCCCCCTCCCACCTCCCTCTCCATCCCATCCCTCTGGGTCTTCCCAGTGCACCAGCCCTGAGCACTTGTCTCGTGCATCCAGCCTGGGCTGGCGATCTGTTTCACACTTGATAATATACATGTTTCAATGCTATTCTCTCCGATCATCCCACTCTCGCCTTCTCCTACAGAGTCCAAAAGTCTGTTCTATATATCTGTGTCTCTTTTTCTGTCCTGCATATAGGGTTATCGTTACCATCTTTTTAAATTCCATATATATGTGTTAGTATACTGTATTGGTGTTTAACTTTCTGGCTTACTTCACTCTGTATAATGGGCTCCAGTTTCATCCATCTCATTAGAATGGATTCATATGAATTCTTTTTAATGGCTGAGTAATATTCCATTGTGTATAGGTACCACAGCTTCCTTATCCATTCGTCTGCTGATGGGCATCTAGGTTGCTTCCATGTCCTGGCTATTATAAACAGTGCTGCGATGAACATTGGGGTGCACGTGTCTCTTTCAGATCTGGTTTCCTCAGTGTGTATGCCCAGAAGTGGGATTGCTGGGTCATATGGCAGTTCTATTTCCAGCTTTTTAAGAAATCTCCACACTGTTCTCCACAGTGGCTGTACTAGTTTGCATTCCCACCAACAGTGTAAGAGGGTTCCCTTTTCTCCACACCCTCTCCAGCATTTATTGCTTGTAGACTTTTGGATAGCAGCCATCCTGACTGGCGTGTAGTGATACCTCATTGTGGTTTTGATTTGCATTTCTCTGATAATGAGCAATGTTGAGCATCTTTTCATGTGTTTGTTAGCCATCTGTATTTCTTCTTTGGAGAAATGTCTGTTTAGTAAAAATATGGAACGTTTCACGAATTTGTGTGTCATCCTTGCGCAGGGGCCATGCTAATCTTCTCTGTATCGTGTCAATTTTAGTATATGTGCTGCCGAAGTGAGCACCAGGCTTTCCTATTCTTCACTATCTCCTGGAGTTTGCTTAAACTCATGTCTGTTGAGTCAGTGATACCATCCAACCATCTTATCCCCTGATGCCCTCTTTTCCTTTTGCCTTCAGTCTTTCCCAGCATCGGCATCTTTTTCAATGAGTCAGCTCTTTGCATCAGGTGGCCAAAGTATTGGAGCTTCAGCTTCAGCATCAGTCCTGAATAGTCAGGGTTGATTTCCTTTAGTATTGACTGGTTTGATCTCCTGAAGTTTGATCTCCTGAAGTCTCCTGAAGTCCAAGGGACTCTTGAGTCTTCTCCAGCACCACAGGTCAAAAGCTATACTTTAGTAAAAAAATAAAACACGCTGAGACATTGAAAGAATTGTGAGTGAGCACATACAGACTCTCCTTCCAGGTTCTACATTTTGTCACTTTGCTACATCATTTATCCATACATCACTCCTGTTTCTGATCCTTTTCAAAGTGTGATACTGCCATCAGTGCCCTTCATCCTGGTCCTCTTCAATATGCATGTTTTCCGCTTAGTGTATTCTTAGTGTATTTCTGAAAACTTTAGTGGACAGCTGTGTTAGGAAGATCTGTGTGACTTCTGAGAGGCAATGTGAAAATTATTGGGACATACTGATTGAATTTAGGATTCTCTGTTGCAACGTTTCATAGTTTGGGCTTCAATAATTTTTGTCTATGGCCTCCAGTAATTTTTGTCTGTGGGCAGTGGCAAAGAATCCCCCTGCCAAGTAGGAGGCGAGAGTTTGATCCCTGTGTTGGGAAAATTCCCTGGAGAAGGAAATGGCAACCTTCTCCTGTATTCTTGCCTGGGAAATCCCATGGACAAAGGAGCCTGGTGGGCTACAGTCCATGGGTTGCAAAGAGTCAGGCATGACTGAGCAACTAAACAACAACAACAACAAAAGGGACCTCAGAGGTCACCTAATTTCAATTCAAATTAGAATGCCTTGGAGAGCTTTTTAAAAACCACCACAGACCCGCGCGCGCTGCCCGAGCCTCCGGGCGGCGGGCCAGCCTCCCCGAGCCGCGCCGCCCCGGCCCCGCCGAGCGCGCGGAGCCCCGGGACAATGGGGCCGCGGTGGCTGCTGCTCTGGGCCGCGGGGCTCGGTCTGTGCAGCCCCCTGGTGTCGGCCCGCACCCGAGGCCCCGGAACAGAGTCAGAAGCAACAAACGGTACTCTGGGTCCCCGGTCTTTCTTTCTGAGGAATCACGATGACGGGTATGAACCCATCCCAGTGCCAGATGACGGGGACTCCAGTGAAGGTGAATTCGCAGAAGAGAGATTAAGCTCAGGCAACAGAAGCAGCCCTCCTCAGAAGCCATCCCTTCCGTTTATCTCCAGTGCCGCCTCGGGATATCTGACCAGCGCCTGGCTGACCGTCTTTGTCCCCTCGGTCTACACGGGCGTGTTCCTCGTCAGTCTCCCCCTGAACATCGTGGCCGCGCTGGTGTTCGTCCTGAAGATGAAGGTCAAGAAGCCGGCCGTGGTATACATGCTGCACCTGGCCGTGGCAGACGTGCTCTTCGCGTGCGTGCTTCCGTTCAAGATCAGCTACTACTTCTCCGGGAGCGACTGGCGGTTCGGGCCGGCCCTGTGCCGCTTCGTCACGGCGGCCTTCTACGGGAACATGTACGCCTCCATCATGCTCATGACGGCCATCAGCGTCGACCGCTTCCTGGCCGTGGTGTACCCCATCCAGGCGCTCTCCTGGCGGACCCTGGGGCGCGCCTCCCTCATCTGCCTGGCCGTCTGGGCCGCGGCCATCGCGGGCGTGCTGCCCCTGCTCCTGCAGGAGCAGGCCGCCCGCGTGCCGGGGCTCAACATCACCACCTGTCACGACGTGCTCAGCCAGACCCAGCTGGAGGGCTACTACTCCTACTACTTCTCCGCCTTCGCCGCCGTCTTCTTCTTCGTGCCCCTGGGCCTTGCCACAGTCTGCTACGTGTCCATCATCCGATGCCTCAGCTCTTCCACGGTTGCCAACCAGAACAAGAAGTCCCGGGCTCTGCTCCTGTCCGCGGCTGTCTTCTGCGTCTTCATCCTTTGCTTCGGACCTACAAACGTCCTTCTGCTTCTCCACTACGCCTTCCTTTCCCCCGATTCCGTGACAGAGGCTGCCTACTTTGCCTACCTCCTGTGTGTCTGTGTCAGCAGCATAAGCTGTTGCATCGACCCCTTGATATACTACTATGCTTCCTCCGAGTGCCAGAGGCACCTCTCGGCGATCTTACGCTGCAAAGAAAGTGCAGATCCCAGCAGCTGTAACAGCAGCGGGCAGCTGATGCCAAGTAAACTGGACACCTGCTCCACTAACCTGAGTAGCAGCCTGTACAAAAAGCTCTTAACTTAGGAAGAGGGACCGACAGTGAGTTAAAAGGAAAATGTTAAAAAAGCAAATCACCTGAGGATTCGACTTCATCCCTGACAAAAAAAAAAAAAAAAGTATTTCCTTTACCATCCAAAACAACAAACGTGTGATTTACATGTCTCCCTATGAAAGCTTGTATATTTGTTAGTTACAGACAAAAGTAACAGGAATAGAAAACATTATTCCAAGAGAGTATTGCCAGTGTTACCACAAGAACTAGATGTCTCTGTTTTCATATATTTACATGACTTATTATAGATGTATAGTGTGAATTTATACACGTACTTATATCATTTGCAGTACAGTATAGAATAGGCACTTTGAAACCCTCTCTTTTTTCACCAGAGACTATGGAAATAAACTCTGATTTTCTGATTTAGCATGCAAAGTTTAGGTCGGAACATCTGAGGAAGCCCATCAGTAGTGAGGGATTCTACAGTTTGGACTTGCACAGCTTTTGCAAATAAATGCATTTTTAACTTGTTTAACAGCAATGTTTAAATTGTTGAGGGATGAGACTTAGTACTAGCTGTGTGTAGAGAAAGTTCTTTTGTTTTTCTTGTTAACTAGATCAAAGTTTGGATTCTTGAAATTATTAAAGTGGATGAAAACAGATGATGCAGGTAGCATTTTTGCTGCTTTACACGCCACATGTGTGAACTGAGAATGAACAGAAGTCCCACCAGTGACCTGAGGTTGGCTTTCAAAGCGCCCTGCCCCCGTCCCCCAGATGAAGGGCTCCAGGCGGTAGACACAAGACCGGGCCACGTGTTTGCTGTCTTCTGCTGGGATTCCCTCAAGGATTGGCCGTGAGCTTATCATGTTTATGAGAAGTTGGTGGAGTAGGATGTGCCATCCCAAGAGACAATGAATGTAAAAGACTTCTCTGCCTCTGTTAAGAATGGAGAAAGAAGGCATGTTTGCTTTCGGCAGTTAGGCTGCAAGGATCACTGTCAGCTGGAACCAGCTATATAGCAAACATGGACAGTCATCGTGTGCTCTAGGCATGCATGGGTGTTGGGCAAACACAGTTGAGTCAGACGGAAACCTACTCTCGAGAATAACAAAGTGGACCGACACGTGGAGTGTGACAAGTGTTAAAGAAATGCATCAGTATGTAAAGAAGTGCTTTTAGCCAGATGTCACCAAGCAAGTTCCACATAATCAAGCCTGGCGGGTGAAGAACTTTGAACATTTGGTTTACTGCTTCCTGTGGTTATAACTTGAGAGGAAAACATAATATATTACAAGAAGCATGTTTTTAAAAATAGGTCCTTCAGTAACAGAATATGAAAATTTTTACTACAGTGTTATTCAAGCAAGATAATTATAAATTCTGTATATAATATAATCATCAGTCTATGTATCAACATGAAAGCAAAATTATACATAAAAGAGATTGAAAAAATAAACTAAAACATCAACTAAGGATAAAGTAAGTCCTTCAAAAAAAAAAAGTGAGTCCTTCAGTCTGACTTAATTAGACACTATTTACAAATGTTTTGTTCAGTACATACTCAAATCAGATTTTTAAAAAAGCATTAATTATGTCAGAAATGGCAGAAGAAATGGAAATGACTTTGAAATCTAGGCAAATAGTCTCCATTTTTTCCATTCACTTTTGTTAAGAGTTAATGAAATGGCTTTAAAAGCCATTTTTTAACCCTATGATGAGTATCAAGTACAGAATATTCTCGTGTATTTAGCAAAATAATTAAAAACAATGTTGATATATATCTTTTTTCCTTATGAAAAAATGTTGGCATTTTAAACAAACAAAAAGAATAGAAAACTGTAAGACAAATGCTTACCTATTTAAAAAAACTGTTTCCAAATTCCATTGAATAATTTACATAAAAATATGTATTGTAAAGTAAGTAAAAGTTAACATTGTTTTTATTAGTTACTGTATTCATTTTATCTAATTTAGTGAAGATATACTGTCACTGTTTATTCATTCTGTTTATATTGAAATGCATCTAACTTAATAAGACCCATTACTGTATTATCAGTATGCACTTATAAAATATTACATCACTGTTTTTATGTTCTTTTTAAAAAATGTGTATAACCTCTATTAATAAACCTGAAGGTTTGCGTGAAAAAAAAAAAAAAACAAAAAAAAAAACCACCACAGAGATTCTGACCAAACCCATCTAGGGTGAGACCTGGACATTTATATTTTTAAAAAGTTCTTCAGGTGATTCTAATGTGCAACTAGCTACAGAACTCCCAATGCAGTTCAGACTTTTGCTATCTACCTGGAGTGGATACTTTTAATCAGATGTTGGAAGATAAAATGACACTTGATGCATATTTCTTGGCTAACAAAGCACAAAGTCAGAAATGTTAGTCAAAATTACCACCTGAAGAGGAACCTTTCCACAAATATCTGTGCTTAGAGGAATTTTTTCTAAAAATGGCTTGTTTTCTGATGTCAGCAAACACGACTGATATAGAACTTTCTTTTCCACATGAATTGAAATGATCATATACAAACTCCATGGGGGTGGATTATACAGAATCCAATAATAGCTGAAGAGATCCATGTTCTTACATTTGTTCAAGCTGCCGTCTGTGGTGATATGCTGATATCATGGCATTAGACAAAAGCAACCCTCTCTAGAGGGCAGTTAATATAAATTTAGTGCCTGCTTTGAAAACTTATGAGAACTTTTAACTCTACAAAAACTTCAGTGCAGTCTGTCATGTGGATCATCTCAGGGTCCTTGTGAACATATTCTTTAAGCAAGGAGATATTTAACAAGTTTGTTTTTAAATGTTTGCATTTGGGATGCATAAGACAAGTGCTCGGGCCTGGTGCACTGGGAAGACCCAGAGGGATCGGGTGGAGAGGGAGGTGGGAGGGGGGACCGGGATGGGGAATACATGTAAATCCATGGCTAATTCATTTCAATGTATGACAAAAACCACTGCAATGTTGTAAAGTAATTAGCCTCCAACTAATAAAAATAAATGGAAAAAAAAATAAATTCCCAATTCAGTTGTAAATGAATATTACGAACTGAGTCAGCTTCACTTCTGTGTGCATGTTTAGTCACTCAGTTGTGTCTAACTCTTTGTGACCTTAGGACTGTGGCCCACCAGGCTCCTCTGTCCATGGGATTTTTTCAGGCAAGGATACTGGAGTGGGTCACCATTTTCCTCCTCCAGGGGATCTTCCCAACCCAGGGGTTAAACCCACATCTCCTGTGTCTCTTGCATTGCAGGTAGATTTTTTATTTACCCACTGAGCCATCAGGGAAGCCCGGCTTAACATCTATTTATATAAAAAAGATTTGAATTGACCACACGCTAATAGAAACCAATTGTATAATGATCCCTGTAGTCCATCTCTTACTCAATAACAATGTGTGGGAGCAGGAAGTCATGCTATATGAGAACAGTAGTAAAAATGGGATGATTCTCAAGAGCTTCATTACCCTGTAAGAGTTATCCTGTGCTTTTCCGATAAGCCATTCATGCACCAATGTGAATGAATAGGTACCAGTTACAGGATAGCTTGTTTTGCTCTTTGGAATAAATATAGCTAAGATTTGGTGTGTGCCATCACTGCACTAAACATCTTATTTTATTTCCTTAGATTCAAGAAATAACCCTATGACAGACACTTTAATCTACCTTATAGATAAATGGGAGAATGAGGCTCAGAGAGAAATTTACTTGTGCTCACACACTGGTAGAGATGAAACTCAAACTCGGTCTGATTCCAGAGCTAGAGCTTTTCACTAATGCCTCCCAAGAAGTTTCAAAAAGAGATCAGGGGACAACAAGCAAAGTGGAAGAAAAGAGAGTTGAATAAATGGAGGGAACATGTCAGCTTGGAGGTGAGTGTATGTATGACTTGGTAACTTGAGTTCCATCATGAGTGAACATTTCAGTCTGGGGAAATTATTATGCTTATAACTGGAATAATCAGATTTTATTCTATGATGAGAGGAGGTACTACATGCCTCCAGATCTTAACATTCAAGTTGGTACCACTGATGACCTCATAATCCATTAAAGACAAGAAATAAACTCAACCCCACTGGCCTATGCCCTGTGCACCCTCTTGCAAAGAATGGCTCCATTTTCTTCTCTTTCACGAGGAATTGGTCTTCCTTCATTCTTGCTCTATAATGCCTATGTAATACCCTTTTTACCACCCAAATATATTTCATACCATCTACTTTTCACCATTTCACTCACTGCTAGTACTCTAGACATCATATGTTTCCTAGGTGACTGTAATTGCTTCCTACCTTGTTCTACTCAACTGAATGTGTCCTTTGCTAACCTGCGATTATCACTTCAAGACACAAATCTTAATGGACAATCCAGTTTGCTAAGAAAGCTCCAGTGGATTTTATTGCCTTTAGGATAAAGATCATGATCTACATGACTCAGTGTTGCCAGCTTGTCTAACTACTTCTTTAGCTTCTTCGCCTACCATGCTCCCTTTCACTCTTCCTCTTCAGTAACAGTAGGCTCTTTTGAGTCTCACTCAAGCATCCTTGTTTCCTTCTGTCCCAGTGTATTTGCATATGCTCTTTTCTCTCCTGTCTTTACCTAGTTAATTCCTGCCGATGGATCTTAATTCTGCTCAACAGTGTCTACCTTAGAGAAACCTGTCTTAACCACCATCCCATCAGCTCAAGTCAATCCCCAGCTTAAATATTCTCCCAGAAGTGGGTAGCTCTCCTTAATTTCACATTTCTGATGTCATTTTACATTTTAAAACTTTGATGCCTACCTCCTTGCTAGATGATATATCCGTGAGGGTAGGGGCTTTGTTCTTGCTCACCATTCTATTTCTAGCATCTAGCATCTTCCCTGGCACAGGGCAGCTTCTCAAATATCACTTGAATAATGAAAACTGTCTTGGTATCATATTTTATTTCAAGGAAGTATGTCTTGCAAAACATCTATCAGAGCCATTTACTTGTAGCCCAAGATCTGTAACTAAGTTTGCCTTTAGTCTCTGTGCTTAAATCCTTGTCTTGGTTCTCTGTCCAGTATCCCAGTCCATTCATATTTTTCCATCTCATCATTGTAGGATCTTAAATCTTGTCTCTTAAAACCCAATCCCTGTGTTTGCCGTCTATCTTTTCTATACCTAAGAGTCTAGTGTTTAATGTTTTCTCCATTCAAGCCTGTGTGATCTGTCCAACTCCCAAGCTCCCACAGCTCCTTTGTTGTGACATTTACTTTTTTTAAAAAAAGCACAACTCTGTAAAAGTATGATTAAATATGTGTAAATAACTGCTGTTCATTGTTATTCAATTAAAAAATTCATTTGTAATTTTATAGTCAAGTATTGAAAGCTGTGACTCAAACTGAGTCAGAACATAACACAATACTGTCTACGTAACTGGGAGCCCAGAGATCTGCCAGGGCACAGGCAAGATGAGGTCATGAGCTCAGTGGTGACGACAATGTCCAGAGTGTCTTCATGTCTGTTCTCTGCCTTCTTCAGTGTTTTCTTGATCTGAAGCATGATGTCTCTTGTGATTCCAAGATGGCTACCTGTCGGTAAGCTGTGTATTTCCCGGTGCATGTCTAGCAAAATAAAGAGAAAGGGACACTTCCCTTCCCCATCCCAAGCATAGAATACAAGTCTTTTCCTTTAATCTGATTGTACCAACTTTGGTTACATTCTGACCCCAGGCCCATAATAGTCATCTCGGGGAATACAATACATTGATTGGCTTAGAAATGAATCAAGATGCCCTCTGGAGTTACCTGAATAAAGTCAGCCCTCTGTTAGGAAAGAAAGGAGGATGTGGATGTTGGTTAGGTAATGAACCTAACCAACCAGTTATAAGTTATATAATGGTAGTGTCACTGCCAATGACTGTTATGGACAAATGGCTGGGTGTGACAGCAAGAGGAAATAGAATTCTATAAGTTTGGGG